CAGGCACTGCATCGACCAACACTTCAAAGTGTTTATATACCTAATCCTCAGAAACGAAATAGGTCTTTTTAAAACTGAAATTAAACATATGAAGAAATCTGGAAGACTCCTTAACGTGACCAAATTGATGGGCGGAATAATACTTACTCTTGAAGATATAACTTGTCATAAGAGAGCCTTTTAAGCAGCTTGCCGCATTTAAAGGGATACATTCTTAACGCGAAGAGTGATCGACGGCTTCCGTCAATAAAGTGAACTCGTTACCTTAGAGAAACTATTGAAATCTCTTAACTGCAAAAATAACGCTTGAAGCTCTACGTTTAATTTGGAGGTTATCGCACTCAGCCAAGTTAAGCGAAAGAGAACCAAATGGTTCCTCCAAAAACTTTCAAACTAAAATCACAGTCTAAACGACCCAGCTTTTTAAGTCGTATCGACTTTGAAATCCAACTAAACGCTGAAATTTTTTTAATATACTCAATTGCCCAATGGAAGATGTTGACTAGCTTATCGCCATTTGAGAACTACTGTTTTCCTTTCCGCTTGTTGTTAATTGTACGTTGCTATGAATCCACATTTACTAACCCAACTCCACTTACTGTTACAACTATTTACTCTTTTTCAATCATTGGTATCATAGTTTATTTCGAGAAAGAACAGTACGTTTGCACTACGCTATATCCTTCTTCACCAAAAATTCGTTTTTTTCCAAAATACTGTTTTTTCACACAGTTCTTTTTGAAGAGAAATCAGAACTGATCATTTGAGTGCGTTGTTTAGAAACGCACTGTTCAGACTGTCCATCTCAATCCGTTAAATGACTTTGAGCAATGCACTTAAATGGCTAGTCGCACTGACGAGAAAACGACGCAAGAAGTCTAAAACTCCAACCTTCCTCAGCTTCCAGTAAGACCGGAGTTGTGTTTCTGGTCTAATCAAAAAACTTCGTAAGTGTTCCAGATGAGGTCTTAACCAAAACTCAGAATTTGTACGACCCAAAGTAACCTACTGGATGAAAATTAGTAAAAGATAATAAGCGGAATGTTTTTTTTGGCCACCATATACAATCCTAAGTGGCATTTTTGGCTTGATAGGCCTGCACTTTATATTTTGCAGTTCCTACTTTTTCATTCGTATACTAGTCGTGTTCAAACCCTTCCTACCAAATGCAGAGTAAACCTACATAATGTATACCTGATACAGTTGTCTGAACAGGAAACTACCAACAAATCCGTATGAACAAATTTGCACTGTAGTTCAGCACCTGCAACTAGGAACAAAAAAGTTACGAAACCAACGATAAATGCTTAACAATTTAGCTATAATGAACAGAAGATGAATAACTTTTTATCTAAAGTTCTGTTCAAAAACCCAGGCCATCCCGTAACAGCAACTTTGAGCTGCTTTCTCTGTGTTAGATTCCAAGATAAAAGAAGTAAACCTGTTTGAATTGCTCATCAGCTTAAGTTCTCTTTCGTTCTTTTGTATTGTTTCCTAAGCAGCAAAACATTTATTTTATTCGAGATATATGTGAGACACACGTCCAGTTGAATTTTACAATTCCTAAAAATTGAAGTTTTTTAATAAAAAACTCAACGCGCTCCTACTTGTCTTACCCCCCAATTAGCAACAAACTTGAAGACATTATTGAAATTGGTAGCGAATAACAAAAGGCAGTAAGCCACTGCGAAGCAAAAACTTTCGGCTGCGAATCAAGTTATCTTCAAGTACCACCTACGCAACATAGGACTCGCTCCAACAATGTTCACTATCCTTTCCACCAGTCCCTCAACAAGTTCTCGGTTAGTGCAGCTTGGACAATACTTACAAGAACAGCTTTTCTTAAAATTGGGTGGCTTGAACTAAATTGCGCTCAGGAGTATCACCGTTCAGGAAAGCAAATGCGAAGCAGGTAACAAACATTCTCCTTATTTACACCAATCTTCAAAACTAGAAAGAAAAAAACCGATATTTATACAGCAAGCAACTTAAAATATTTCATCAAAAACAATGCTTTCACAGCCAAAAAAGTGAAAATGATACCCATTTAATCACGATTCACTATTACTAATTTCTAAGTACTTCGTGTGGAGCTGCCTGCAAGACTTTGAAATCCTTCAAAAAATAAGAGAAACTTAAGCAATTTTTCAAAACGAAAGCTACATAAAAGTTAGGGAATCTTATATGAGAAGCAAAGTTGCAAAAAAAATTTCTGCTAAATCCAATTTAAACTGCTAAAATTTTTTGTAAATAGAGGTAACCAGTCACAGAATCGTACAATTTAGTAAAAAAAATTTCTTTATAATTTTGTTCATAGAATTTTCAAATTGTTGACGGTAAACCAGAAAGGTCTTGATGGCCACAGATATCCAAAACTGACCCACTGTGAAAAGATCACAACGAATTCAACACCGTGAAAATGACTAGAATAAAAATAAAAAGAAAACCAGCTAATCTAAGCGATGAAATACTGCCATATTTAAACTGGCCCCCAAACCTCCAACGCTCTCCCATGCGCTGAATTCTTACATGAAGACCGAACAGTATTAAAATCAAAACCAGGCGGAAAAGACCTTGTGTGCATTTTTTGATTCTCGCAAAACCATATCCTTCAAAAAACTCAAATCCTTCAAACACCGTTGGAGACGTTGTGCCTATAGAAATTAATTTTATTTTCAAGATGCTTCAAACTAAAGTTATAAAGTTTTTGACATTTACCTGAAATCGCAGCTGACTTTGTTTTTATTTAATAAAATACAGCAAAGAAAAGCGGAGGCACACACCTACTTTTTAGAAAAGATCCTCTAGATATTTTATATCCAAGAAAACCTTAAAAATTATAGCTCCTTCGCAGACACATTAAAGAAACGAGTCCCAACTTACTGGCGGGAACTATCGCCACAATAATACCAAAAAGCTAGCTCCTGAAGGCCTGACAGAATGTCTTCAGAAGCTTCTCTTTATCACAGTATTCTATCAGCAGTGACACTGTCGAACTAAGAAAAGTGAATAGACCTTAAATAACATAAATAATTATGACCGTAACGTCAGAGAGCCCACTATCGAACTATTTCATACCGAACTGTATGTTAAGCCATATGTACGACAACAGATGCTCCCGCCATTTTGGAACCATAATGTCCAGCCCAAAATTGCTTGTCTACTCCTCCATGCTCAAATACTACGTAACGAACACCTCGTGGGTACTTCGTAAATTTATATTGGATACGACGCCACGAAGTATCTGTATAGAACTATATAGCAAAAAGTAGCCACAGGCGGACATAGTTGAAAGTACAAATCAAATAAAAAGTATTTAAGCTGAAACTTTCACAAGTTATCGATTTTGGGGAAACAGTTTCTTATTAACAAAAATGAAAATGCTACAGACGCTCAACAATCAAACGCTCACTTTCCCACTGTTTCATATGCCTGATCCTAAAAATGGAATTTTCACTGGTCGTTTCCTCTAATCCTTGGCGCCTGAGAACATCATAGTTATATTCGGAACATTTCCAATCCATCAATTCGTCGGGTGTCAGGAGCAGTACCTTTAGAAAATAAATTGAAGCACAATCAGCTCTGCAAGTATAATATTCTGACACAGTTATAGGAGGTCGAATAACGTCCATATAGTGAGCCTGAAAAAGCTATGTAGAATCAAAAAATCATATCGTCTAATTTGTTTGCTCTTCTGAACTTTGAAACAACCCTAACATCACGTATTACCAGGGGAATTATGCATTTGTAGACAAATAAAAACCGATTGGCCCCCTCCTCAACTAATAAAATTTTCTCAGTAAACATAAATTCTAAAACAGCTGACTTTAGAATAACAAAAATCTGTAATTTGACTGTCCAAAAGTTGCAGTAACGAAAAACAAGAAGCATCAACAGCAAAGCAGAAATTAAGAGAAGATGCATCTTTAAATTTCGCATTTATTCGCCCAATATCACCGTTACAACGAATTACCAGTGTTGATGAAATGCTTCGATGACTCGTTAAATTTCATATAGAAGAAACTAAATCGAGAAGAAAAGACTGCTGAGTCAACCAAGCTAAGTCCCCTTTTCTCGCCGCAAAGCGTCATTTACAGTTTAATCTTGTTTCTGGCTATTCCTCTTAATCGTAATCACAGCCAATAAGACTGTTAATAAAAACTGATAACATATTACAGATTGTCAACTCTACCCCACTTCAAAAAATTCGGAAAAACGTTGTACAGTGAATGACACCTGGTGTGAATTACCCGAAGCAAAGAGGAAGGAATTTCCAGTGATAAAATAAGTTTGATAAATAGAAATTTTTCCTCAATAATTTCATTAAAAAAATGGCCATAAGCGAGGAACTCTCCACTTCAAGTGAAAATGCATTCTAAACAATTTCATTTTCTTATTTTCAAAGGCTATTCTCACAGACTTCTTCTTCAAGTTGTTTTAAAAGAATCAGCATTAAACAAGTTGTGCCTAAAATATTTTCTGAATCAAATTTTAGCTAAAAGTGAGTTGTCTCATTAGTTCCCAACAAAAGTGTACTAAAAAGCTTTGATTCGGTTGGTACAAAAACACTTGGGAAATTGACAGAAAACCTGGAATGAAACCCTCCGCGGTGGTAAGAAAGCCAGAAAACCCACGCTAAAAGACCTAAAAACCCTCCTCAAACTCTTATGAAGTTTCAAAAGTTAAAAGCTTTATCTTCGCTTCCATTTGTAACATTCCTCTCCAGCAAACAAAAAAGTTTGCCCCTGATCAATTTGTGCAACTTCACCCCTCCTCCCCACCTCCAACTACCGTTTCACGCGGCAATAAAACCGGTGTTCTTTCTTACATCGGATGGCTACCACAGAAATCGCACTACAGCAATGTTAGCAAGTGAAAAAAATAATTTCGACTTACTCCAAAAACTTCCAAATCCACAACACAATGTTTTACGCTAGGAAAAAAACTAGTCGCAAATGCAGTGGTTATTCCATTCATGGGACGACAGTTTACTGGTGGAGATTCAATAATAAACCTGACATGTCAAATTAAATAATAATGAAGAAGAAAACAGTGGGAGCAAAAATCTTCTAATTACAACCAATTTCAGGGTTTACTGTTACAGTTATTCCAAATACCTAGAAAACTCAGGAATGTAACGAAATGTGGAAGAAGGTGAAACAAGTGAAACCTGTCTCCACCGTCGCTGGTTATTTCCCAATTGTTGAATCCATCTTGCCCACTCGGATTAGCAATTAAGTTTTTTCCAAACTTACTAAAGACTCCGAATTCCGTTAGCACAAAATGTTCATTAACTTCCCCTGATATTACTGCATTATACCCAAACTGCCTTTTCTGATAAATTTTCCAAAAATATGGTGTTGAAAGTGTTTCAAACCACCGACGACAAACCTACAAATAATTTGTGACGCAATTCTCTACGATGACTTAACTTCCAGACTGGAATACGTTACTCTTACTCTGAAAAAGTTCCTTATCATGCAAAATCCTATCAAACTACAAAAAAAGGCTCTCAAGCTTATTTCTGCCTTTATTTTCTAAAATTAATATGAAACAACAAACCAGATAGCATGAGGTTATTAAAAATTTCGGCGAATCTACTCGACTTAAAACCTCCATTATAATATCCGGTGCAAGCATTGACTCGGTAACTGTCCTGTTAATCTCATCTCAAAAAATATTTTTTATTCTTGAAACTAAGCATTTATTAATAAAACTGCTTTTGCCATACCCTTGTGAAAAAAAACTAATCCTAATATTTTCTGACAAGTGGCTATAAGTAAAAGCTGATGACCATTGCTGATGACTAGAAAGCAATTTACCACCAAAATAATATTCAAAAGCGAAAACAAATGAGTAAAAAGATGGGAAGAATTATGAGAGCAGTCAAACTCACTGCTGTAGTCGTGTGAACAACCCTGGCGCTCGTAACTCTCATGATAGTCTTCTGACAATGACTTTGAGCTTGATGACTGATGATTGCCTTAAATAAAATTTTACTCTATCTCACCCATAATACTTCATTATTCCGGTACAAAAAGTAAAAATAGAAGCCTTCTAACAAATTAAAAAAAAAATTTTGTAAACTAAAATAATAGAAAGATAAATTATTTATTACTAACAAAAACGAATAACAATTACTACAAAACCTGCCAATGGCTCATTGATAGAGCATTAGGATAATGGCTTCCAAAACAAACATAATACTATCAGCACCATTCTAAGTTTTGATCAAAATGGATTCCGAAAAGGAAAAAAGAAAGGTATAAAACGCAGTTTAAGCTTTCGAAGTTAGATAACTGATGTTAATCTAGCGGAAAAAAATCAACGGTTGTTAATTATATGCAG